TTCCGCATTCAGAAACATATATTGTTGTTCCGAATATCATAATAGTCAAGATAATTCTGGTCGTTCTTCAGTAGCTCAAGAAATTTTAAGTCATTCCCCAACACAATTTCTTGAAAAACACCATGCCCCAAAGGAACCATCTCAATCAGAAAAGGTATTTCCATATTCACCATTCGACCATACCAGAGAAAGAATGGATAAAGAAAAATTAGAAAAAGAAAATATGGAAATATTAAAATGGGAACAACAAAAAGAAAAGGAATATATGGAATTAAAAAGAGAAACCCAAGAAAAAGAACGTATTGAAAAATTAGAAAAAGAAAGAAAAGAAAGAGAACATATAGAATCTTTGGAAAGACAAAGATTAATAAAAGAAAGACTAGAAAAAGAAATTAAAGAACGTAGAGAAGCTTTTGAAAAGAAAAGAATAGAAAAAGAAAGAGAAAAAAAAGAAAAAGAACAAAAAGAAAGAGAAAAAAAAGAAAGAGAGGAATTAGAACGTACCCAAACAATATTAAAAGAAACATTACAAAGAGCAATCGAAAGGGTACGTTTAGAAGATTTAGAAAGAGAAAGATTAGAAAGAGAAGAAAGAGAAGAAAGAGAAAGAGAACAACAATTAAGAGAACAACAAGAGAGAGAAGAAAGAGAAAAACAAGAAAGAGAACAACAACAACAAAGAGAACAACAAGAAAGAGAAGAAGCAGAACGTAGAGAAAACCAAGATCCTTGCACTATTTGTATGGACAGAATTGAACCAAGCCAACTTGCAGCAATCGATTGTAACCACATGTTTTGTTACGATTGCATTATGGAATGGTCTTATCGTCGTGATAACACCTGTCCAAATTGTAGAGCTCCATTCTTTTCAGTAAGAGTTAGTAACTCATACCATATTTTATACATAATAAATAAAATATATATATATTAATTTAATTTATTATTTAATTGTAGAGAGTCAATGGTTCAATAAACGAAGCCAATATAGAGCAAGGTGATCAACGTCCACAAATTTAAATAATGATGATGCAAATTCCAACGAACCCAATATCGATTTGGAATTGTTTGACCAAATGGATATCGAATAGATTTCCATTACCGTTTCAAATGGTAATTATTAGATTTCATGAATATGTATCAAGAATTAGCTGGCCACTAATTCTATGATTACATGGACATAAATCAATAAAAAACCATCCATATGGAAACGTATTTATTAATAAATCAAAAGGTTAAACTGCAAACATCATCATTGGACAACATTCTCATCGTTTTCAACATTATCAGTACAATTTATCGCAATAGCTTCAACTCTACAAAATAACGTTCTCAAGGTTCCATTAACAAGTTCTCCTCATATTGTAACTATAATATTAATATTTACTTAAATATTATTAAATTTGAATATAAATGAAACTAATATTTTATTTTAATTTTTATATAGTATAATTATTATCCTTTCTCTCTCAGTATTATCAGGTTCTTTCTCCAGTTTAACAATGTTCTTTCTTTAATGTCAATAATAGGGCATTCAGGTAACTATAGTGTTTATAATAATTATTATATTTAAATATAAAAGAAACTAATATTTTATTTTTAATTCTTATATAGTTAATTTATAATTCTTTCTCTCACAGTTTATTTATAATTCTTTCTCTCCTCGGCATTATCAGGTTTTTTCTCTTCAGTACAACCATGTTCTTTCTTTAGTGTCAACAATAGGGCATTTATATAATAATGGTAACTATAGTGTTTATAAATACATAAATTAAATTTGAATATAAAATATACTAATATTTAATTCATATTTAGTTTAATTCATTCTCTTTCAAGATTCACGTTCTATCTAAGTCTACATTAGGAAATTCATTATTTTAAGGTAACTATAATATTTCATAATTATTATTAAATTTGAATATAAAAGAAACTAATATCTAATTTTAATACTTATTTAGTTCAGATTCAATTCTTTCTTTTTCAGTTTCAATACGTTATTTATATCAAGTAATTATTCATACATTGGGGTTTCCATATATTCCATTATATCGCGGTTCAGTATTTTCTTATAATTGTAGTTTTCAAGTAATTCATCAAACACTGGGGTTTTTTTCAGGTCACTCATCAAACATTTGAGGTTCAGTATTTTCTTTTTAATAGGAGTTACCAAGTCCTTCATCAAACATTGATATATTCTTTCTAATTGGAGTTTTCAAGTCATTCATCATACATTGGGGTTCCATATATTCTATTAAATTGGGGGTTCGATATATTCTTTCTAATTGGGTTTTCAAGTCACTCATCATACATTGGGGTTCAACATTTTCTTTTTAAATGTGGTTTTCGAGTCATTCATTAAACATTGGTTGTTTTTCAAGTATTTCATCATACATTGTGGGTTTATTTAGTCATTCAAACGCTGTGGTTTTTTCAAATCGTTCATCATATATTGGGGTTGTTTTTCAATTATTTCATCATTCATTGTGGGTTTATTAAGTTATTCAAACGCTGTGGTTTTCAATTCGTCAAACATTGTGGGTTTTAATTCGTCAAACATTTTGGGTTTTTTTAATTCATCAAACGCTGTAGTTTTTTCAAATCGTTCATCATATACTGGGTTTTAGATTATTCTTTTAAATGGGTTTTTATGTCATTTATAAAGCATTGGGGGTTTTTTTAAGTCACCCATTATTCATTGGGGTTTACTTTATTCTTATAAATTGTGGTTTTCAGGGTCATTCATCATTCATCGGGGTATTTGTACTTTAAAGGTATTTATAAAGTTAATATTTATAATTATTATTATATTTGAATATAAAAGAATCTAATATTTAATTTTAAAATTTATTAAGATTCAAATTCTTTCTATTTCAACACATAGCAATATAAATACAAATAATAATGAAAATAAAATGATAATAATATAAATAATAATCTATATTCCATGACATTGATGAAAATATAAATAATTCATCATCCATAGACATATATAATAATATAAATATTTATAAAAATAATAATCAACTAATATGTATACAGTGTTAATAACCATAATATAGAATTAGATATGGATTATAATAATATCGATACATGGAAATGGACCATGTTGAAAATAACAATAATATAAATAATAATAATAGAAACTCAACAATATTATAATTTAGAATTTACAAAAACGAAATTTCAATTCTAAAATCTATTTACTCTGAATTAATTGCATTTTTCCTATAAAGTTTATTTTCAACAATGGGTTATTTTATCATCATTTATCAATTAAATACCATCTACAAAAACAATTAACACTGATGTACTTTATAATTAATGTCATTTGGTCACAGATCCGGGTCAAATATCATCATCAATTTTATCATTTATTATTAATATATAGAATTAAAAATTCTCCAAGTTAATTTTCTATTCATTATCAAAATTTAATTTTAATGCTTTTTTAAATTTTTTAATAAAATAAATTTTTATTGTTTTTTAATATTTAAAAACTATGGTAAATTTTTTAATAAAATATATTTTTATTGTTTTTTATTTAAAAACTATGGTAAATTTTTTCTATCTTGTGAAGTTTGGTGAATAAATTGTAAAATTAGGGGTTTGTTTTTATAAAAAATTTGTGGGTTAGCAAATAACTATTTAGTTGTCTATTAAAAAAAAAAAACATATTATTTTAAAGTATTAGTTATTTTTTAAGAAAAAATTAATATTAATATCGAAATATATTTATTTTTTATTTTTTTTATAAAACTATTAATATTTGTAAATTCCAAAATTTTTTATGAGAAAAAAATAATAAAAAAAAAAGATTACATTTTAGAGAAAAAAATAAAAAAAATTTTTTTGGGGTTATTTATGAATTAAATTTTTTTTTTTTATGTTTTATAAAAATTTTATTTATTATATTATGTAAAGATAAAAATAATAAAACTAAAACTATAAATATAAAACTATTAAAAAAAATATAAAATTACGATATAAAAATGGAAATTATTAACGATTTAAAAGAAAAATTAGAAATTAATTCGTCAAGTATGGAAGGTGCAACTGATAATAGTAATAATAATTTCGAACAAAATTTAGTTGAAATTGGCGACGAAGAAGGCAGAGATTATTTAAATGAATCAGGTAGACCATTAGCATATTTTCATCAAATCTCCAATTTAGAAGCCATTGAAGGTGCAGATATTATCGAAATTGCTACAGTATTGGGTTGGAGAGTTATTGTCAAAAAAGGGTTATATAAAATTGGAGATTCAGTAGTTTATGTAGAAATTGACTCGTTGTTACCATCATGGCCATATTTTGTTTCAGATGGCTTGGATAAAAAGAGTTTTAAAATCAAAACTATTAAACTTAGAGGTCAAATATCACAAGGGTATTGCATCCCAGTTAAAGAATTATTAAACCATCCAAATAAAAAAGTATCACCAATATACCACAGTGAACGTTTTGATGAAATTATTGAACTTAAAGACGAAACTACAGGAAAAACTATTCCAATTGAACTTGGCTACAACTTAACCGAGTTTATTGGTATCAAAAAGATTGAAGAATATGTACCAACTATAAGAACTGGCCCAAATAAAACAAAAATCTACACTTTTCCATCATTCATAAAGAAAACCGATCAAGGAAGAATTCAAAATTTATTGCACTATTTTGATACACATAAAGATAAGGAATTTGAAGTAACTGAAAAATTAGAAGGTTCCTCCATCACTGTATATAGATATAAGGACAAAAACGGTATTTGCTCAAGAAATTATCAATTAGAAAAAGTAGAACCATCCACAGATATTCATCAAGCCATTATCGAAGATTTAGATTTAATAAATAAATTAATAGAATCCAATTTAAACATTGCTATTCAAGGTGAAATCATTGGTCCAAAAATCCAAGGTAACATTTACGCTTTAAAAAAACACCATTATAAAATTTTCGATATTTATTTAATCGAAAAAGACCGTTATGCAACATACGACGAAAGAATCGAATTATTACAAAAACTAGGTTTAACTATGAAAGATCATGGTGCCCCAATTTTATTTAAATCCTTCTCACTCAATGGTAAAACTCTTAAAGATATTTTGGAATTAGCCGATGGTTTCTCACAATTAAAAGAATCAAAACCAAAAGTACTTCGTGAAGGTTTAGTATTCAAATCATTATCAACTCATAACGATGTATCTCCATATGTCGTTTCCTTTAAAGCAATTTCAAATCAATATTTATTAAAAAAGAAATAAAACAAAATATAAAACTATTTATTGCTATATTATTATTCATAAAAAACAAACTTTTTTTTTTTCTTTTTTTTTTATTTTTTTTATACTATATTATGCAAACAATGCAAATAAAAATACGATAGTTATAAAATGTAACTTTTACTGCTGCTGATATTTTTGGTGTTGCTGTAGTTGTTATTTTTTATATTGTTTTATTTTATAATAAAATTATTGGAAAATAACCCTATATTCTTACTTTTTTATTTCAAATTATTATTTGAATCAAGATACAAATTTTTATTGTAATTTTATGGGTTTTTAATTTAATAGTTTATATATATTAAAATAACAACAGTTAGTAACCCTTCAAAATTGAAAATAGTGAAAACTCAGTAATAATAAAAAAAATTTAGGGTGTTAGTTTATTTGTATGTCTGTTTTTTATTTGTGTGTGGGAAAAAATTAAATTTTTTGAATTTGGGGGGAAAAAAACTTTTAAAAAACATGCATACATAAACAAAATAGATTCTAGTAAAATATATTATAAAAAACAAAGAATTTGACAACAAAGAAAAAAATGATAAAGTTTAATACTTTTTTTTATCTTGATTTTATTTTTGTAAAAAAGAATGTACTAAAATAGTAAACACCACCTTATTCATAAAAGGTGATTGTTTTTCATTTCTATAAATAGGTATTTTTATTATTATCAGTATGTGTTATAATAAAGTAAGGTAATTGTTTTATATTTTATTTATTTTAATTTTTTTTTTATAATATTTTATTTATTTCATTACACCAAAATTTTTTATTTTTTTTTATATTTAAATTTTTTTTTTATATTTGACTTACTACAAAAGTTAAATAAACAGTAAAACTAACCCATTACAACTATATAATATTTTAATAGCAGTGTAGAATATATTTAAAATTAAAATAAATAAAAATAATATAAATTTTAATAAAAACAATGCATACATACGAATCTTATTTAGGCAAAAAACCAATAACAATAAATGTGTTAGGTGATCCAAAAGTTGGAAAAAGCTCACTATTGTACTCCCTATTCAACCAAGACTATAACCCAAACATTAAATTTAATAACAATAATATATGGTCCAATTCATATACCTTTTGTTTTGGAAATATTAAATTTGAATTAAAGTTTGAAGAAACAAGTAAGCATTATAACTTTTTAAAACTTTTAAAAAATCTATTTTCATGATACTAATTTTTTTTTATAGATGGCACAATAATAACATTTAATGAAATTCAAAAATATGACGCTTTAATATTCCTCTATTCATTGACTGATAAAAATTCATTTTTAAATTTAAATTATTTTTTGGATCTTTACAAATCCGAATATTTCCAAGGTAGAGATGTTCCAGTCATAATTGCCGGTACCAAATTAGATGCTCCAAATCAAATTATACCATGTTTAAAAGAAATAAAATCATTAAAAATACCATATTATGATATTAACTCTTCCGATATTGATTCAATTCATAATTTATTACATATGCTATTACAACCCCTTGCAAAAAGAGAAGAATTAATTATTAAAAAAAATGAAAGAATATTAAGAAATATAGATAAATCGCAAAGAGCATTATCAAAAAAGAAATATTTAACATCACCCACTGCATCATTAGTAAATATTTTTTCCAAAATAACTAATGGTTCAAAAAAAATAGAAAAAGAAAAACCATTAAATTTTTAAAACAATAAAAAACATTAAATTAATTTTTGTATTACTAAACTATGTTTTATATTTAATATGTATTAATATTTTGTTATTATTTAATTTATTATTTTATTTTTATTATAATTTAAAATATATATTATATAATTTTATTATTATTATTTATTTATTTATTTATTTATTTATTTATTTATATTATTTCTTTCCCATTACTAATGATTTAGGATCTATAGGTGAAGAACTACTACGAGTTCTTGTTAATAATTGCTCTTTAATTTTTGAAATGGGTGTCACTATTGATTCAGTGGTTAATGGACTATTTGGTGATTGTTGTTGAATTTTTGGTGATGATGAAGATTGGAGTGGAGGGGATGAGGATGAGGATGGTGAGCCGGCAACTGCAGCATTCGATAATGAGGAAGATGATGAATTGGATGATTCTGATGATGATGGTACTTGTGGTTGTTGTTGTGGGGGTATATTTCTTTTACTGTCCCATTCATCTCTATTTCTATTATATTCTTTGCTGATCTCTAATAACTCGGAATAAAACTCACTTGTGGTTGGTCTTGCCGATGATTCTTTTAAGAGAGTTTTGGTGATTAAATCTGCTAATGACTTTGGTGTTCCTGCTGGTATGGTTGGTCTTACATCTTTTTTAGCTGATGAAATTAAAATCTGGTAATCAAATTTCAAATGTGGATACTCTTGATATGGGAATTGATGTGAACCTTTAATACAACGATATGTCATCTCCCAAAGAATCATACCCATTGAATAGACATCTGATTTTGTGGTATACTTGTTACCAAAATAAACCTCTGGTGCAACATATGCATATGTACCTCTTAATTTACCAAGTGTTTCTAAATTTGAACCAGTATCAAATCTACTGAGACCAAAATCCTAAATATAAATGATAAATTAAATTAATATTCTATTTTTGTTTTGTTTTCTTTCTAAAAATTACAATACATACACAAATTTTAACGGTCCAATCGCCTGTAACTAATAAATTTAAACTTTTAAGATCTCTATGTAAAACTTGTGGTGTCCAATCATGAAGTGACTGTAAAGAGCTAACAGCTTGAAGACCCAAGTGGAAGAAATTATCCCAAGTGAATTGAGTGGTATCCTCTTTTAAAATATGATATAAACTACCTTTAGCACAATATTCCATAACTATACAAAGCTTATCTTTGATACCAGCACCGAAAAAATATACAACACCAGGTGCTTTAAGTGAACTAACAATTTGAAACTCTTTTTTAAATTCTGCAATATCTTTTTGATCGGTAAATGATTTTAAAACTTTAATTGCAACCTCTTGACCCTTATAAGTACCCTTATAAACTTTACCGCTTGCACCTGTACCTAGTAATACATTATACTTCAAATTACTTTCATCTATAACCCAACTATCTGAATCTAAATTAATATGTTTTAAAGCTGATAAATCTGAAACATTTAAATTTGGACCTTGTTCTGTAGTAACAGTAGTAATATTTGTAGTTGTAGTTGTTGAAGTTGTAGTTGATGCTGCTTCCTCAACTTCACCTGCTTTAGTGGTGGTTGTAGTAGTGGTTGTAATTATTGATGATGTTGTTGTTGTTGTTTTAACATTATTATCAACTATATTATTATTATTATTATTATTATTATTATTATTATTATTATTATTGCTATTATTTATTATACTATTATTACTTTTATTTATCTCTGTATTTTTTAAACTATTTAAATCCTTATTACTTTTATTTACTATATTATTATTTTGATTACTATTTATATTACCATTAACAACTCCACTACTATTATTTAAATTACCACTACTTTTATTTAATGTACTATTTGATCTTATAAAATTTTTCAAATTTGAATTACTCGTATTTCTTATATCTACACTATTTTCACTGCTGTTACTACCAACGCTATCACCCAAAATTTGATTTGATGAAGTTGATCTAAGAGATGAGTTGGATGAAGTTGATGATGGATCTTTCATTTTTCTTATTGCTCTTAATAATTTTGTTTTTTGACCAGATAATAGCTTAAAACTATCTAATGTACCTTCATCGATATCTGTAATAACATCCATATAGATTTCATTTTGAATAAAAACTGGTAATAAACTCTCCAACTCTAAACTGTTAAGCCAATCACTAATATCTAAAACTTGTTGAATTTTATTGCTAATTGATGTGTGTCCTAATGACTTTGATAACTCTATTGGACTCATTGGTGGAGCCCCACCAACTATTCTAAAATCTGCACCATTTAAAATTAAAAATCTAACAAAATCCATTTTACCCACTTTAATTGAATAATGTAAAGGAGTTTCACCAATTTTAGTTTGACTAAAGTAAATAATATAACATTAGTACACAATAAAATATAGAATATAGAGTTATAATATTATAATTAATTCAAATACTTACTGATTAATTCTTGAACCTCTTTGTATTAATTGATCAATAATTGTTGATTTTTGTAATGTAGCTAAGCATGCTTTATGGAGTGGAATTTCACCCAATTGATTTTCATCATTAACACCACAACCCCTATCGATTAATTTATTTACAACCTCTTCGCAATTATTAAATGAAATACATTTCCATGCAAAGAAATGTAAGGGTGAATTTCCATTTTGATCTTTAACTGTAATCTTTAAATCTGAACCTCTTAGTAAAGTATTAATTAACGGTATACTATTTGATGATACTGCTAAATGAATAGCTGGTGTTCCTTCGCTATCCTGTACTGAATAATCCAATTTAGATTTAATTATCATTTGTTCAATTGCATTTAAATCTATATCTTTAATTGCCTTAATTAATGGTTTCTGAAAAAAAAAAAAAAAAAAGGTGGTTGGTTAATATTAAAAAAAAAAACCATTTTTTAAAAAATAATTTATCTGCTTACCTCTACTGGTTGGGATCTATCTTTATCAAATCTTATTTTTAATTTAATATCACCACTAACTTTATCATCCGGTTTCATTGGTGACAATGTATACCATTTAACTGTATCCACTATATATTCTGAAATTTGGGTCATTGAAATATTTAATAAACCCATTCTATCATCACTACTAAATCTATCCCAATCATAAACTTCAACTGTAATTGATTGTAGATTTGAATCAACATTACTGTAATAATAATATATGATGTGTTAGTAACTTTATTTAATTATAATTTAACTGTTAAGCAATGTTACATACAAATCGAATGAATTATCAGCCTCCCATCTTGGAAATAATGTATGTCTAACTGCTCTTGTTTTTTTCTTTTTATCTCCGACCAATATAACACAATATGGATCCGATTGGCCATCACTATCCATTGGAATTAAATTTCTACCTTCAAGAACTGTATTTATAAAAATTTTATTAATAATCTTTTTTATAAAATTTGATTTTAAAAAATATGGTGGTATTGAATGTGGGTTGTGTGTGTGTGTTTTTTATTATTATTTTTTTTTTTCTGTGATAACCCTTAAAAAAAAAAAAAAAAAGAAATTTTTAAAGTATGTAGATACATAGTTTAATTTATTTATTTATTTATTTATTTTATTTTTATTTTAATTTTAATTTTAATTTTTATTTTAATTTTATTTATAAAACTAAAAAATAATGAAACAAACCCTCAATATGAATTGAACCTATTTTTCGTGCCATTTTATAATCTTTTAAAAGAAAAACAAATGGTTTTTATTTTGTATTATTTATAATTTATTGTATTTGTTTAAAGTCTACTGCTGACCTGGATTTAATTAATTGAGTTTTATTTATTCTTCCAAAAAAAAAAAAAAAATGTTTCACTTTTTTTTTTTTTGTTGTAAATTTTGATTATATAAAATTTAAATTTATTTAATATTATTGTTGTTATTGCACTATATACTAATGTTATTTATATCTTCTTTAAAAAAAATTTTACAATTTATTTAAATTTTATAATATTAAAAAAAAAAATTAAAAAAATTTAAAAAAAAAAAAATATTTTTAAAAAAAATTTAAAAAAAAAAAAAAAAAAAAAAAAAAAAAGAAAAAAAAAAAAAAAAAATTTTCTCTTTAAAATTGTTTGGTTGGAAATTTGGGTTATAAAAAATTGGGACCCCCACAACCCCCCTTAAATTCCTTTCTTTTCCCCAAAATGGTTATTAAAATTTCCCCATTTTGAAAAAAATTTTCCCATTTTTTTAAATTTTTTTATTTTAAAAAAAAAAATTAAAAAAATTTAAAAAAAAAAAAATTTTTTTTAAAAAAATTTTAAAAAAAAAAAAAAAAAAAAAAAAAAAAAGAAAAAAAAAAAAAAAAAAATTCTCTTTAAAATTGTTTTGATTGTGTTAACATTAAAAAAAAAGATTTGGACCACAACACACCTACTTAAATTACTTTCATTTTCACTAAATTGTTATTATAATTTCATCAATTTGTGTATAATTAATACAAAATTATCTTTTTTTAAAAAAAAAAAATAAAAATAAAAATAAAATTATAAATTTTTTTATTTTTTTTTTTTTTATTTTTTTTTAAAATTTTTTTATTTTCCTAAAATTACATACAAATCACTATTATTTTTATCTAGATTAAATTTAGAATTACCTTTGGATTATTATAATCATAACAATTATTTTTATTATTTTTATTATTTTTATAAACATTGCGCATATAAATAATAAATAACAAATATAAATTTAAATTAAATTATAAAATAATAAAATAATAAAATAATAGTTTAAAACAATAATAAACTGCACACATACGCACATATACATATACATATATACATAAACACATAAACACATAAACACATAAAATACAAATAAACATAAATATATATACACATATAAAATGACAACTAGTCCAGAAGAAGAATCAATCGAGTTACAACAACCACAACAACCAAAAAGAAGAAATAGAATCGGTACAAAGAATAAAGAACTCTATAATTGGGATCCAATAGAATATGAACAAAATGAAAGTAGTTTTGCAACACAAGAATATATACAAGATAGAATTAGTATGTTTACATTTTAAACAAAATATTACATAATACAATAAAATACTTATATATTTATTTATTTTAGGAAAAGATGAATGCAATACAAACTATGTATTATCAATGCCTTCAAATCATGATATAAATTTATGGCAATATGAACAAATTAGACAATTTACATTAGAACTTAATCACTTTACAGCTTTATTTAAAGATTTTTGCAATCAAACTACATGCCCATCAATGAAAGCAACTGATGATTGGTTATTTTTATGTGCATCTCATAAACAAACCCAAGAGGTAAATAATAAAATATATTCAATACGATTTAACCTATTATTAATATTTAAATTAATATTTTATTTTACAGTGTTCAGCTATAGACTATATTATTCATACATTAGATTCTACATCAGCAATATTAAACAGCGATAAACATTTTCCAAAAAGAATTGAAATCCCAGCCACATCAATCAAACATTTTCAATCAATATGTAGAAGATTATATAGAATTTTTGCACACGCCTTTTACCATCACAGAGAACTTTATAACGATTTTGAAGTATGAAAATAATTTATTATATAATAAAAAATACAAATTCAAACACTAATATTTTTTTTTTTTAAATTAAAAAAGTCTAAAACCAACCTCCATAAAAGATTTTGCAAGTTTTGTTTACAATCAAATCTATTACCAAAATCAGCAATTTTAGTAAAAGAATAAATATATAGTTTATAAAAAATGTAGTAAAAGAGTCAGTGTAAGAAAAAATAAAATAAAAAAATGTATAATAGAAAATTATATTATTTAATTTAAAAAAAAAAAAAAAAGATCAAATTTGTTTTATTTTATTTATTTTGTTTTATTAATTTTATTTATTTTATTTTATTTTATTTTATTTTATTTTATTTTATTTTATTTTATTTTATTTTATTTTATTTATTTTATTTCAATTTATTTATTTCAATTTATTTATTTTATTTTATTTATTTTATTTTATTGGTGTTTATTTAAATTTATTGTTTAATCATGGTCATATGTAATTATTTAATTTAATTAAATATTAAAACTAAAAATAAAAATAAAATATTTGACATGACTCAAAAAAATCTGATGAAAAAAGACGAATTTTTGTGTGGTGCCTCAATCTATTTACATAACTGTGTAAAAAAATTTTACGAAAATCTTTGTAAAAAAAAATTTCTATGAGACAAAAAGCCCAATTTTTTTAAATTTTTTTTAAATTTTTTTTCATTTTTTAAATAATATTTTCAATTTTTTTATTTTTTTTTTTTCTCTCTTTTTCGTTAGCAGCACATATAAAGTGAGTAGATAGATATATAATAACTTTTGGTTTATCTATCACATATTATTTAAATAATATGATAAAAAAAAAAAAAAAAAGGAAATTTTAAAGTATAAAAATTAATTTGGAAGAGATGTTATGTTAGATAATGGAAAAAAATAAAAAAAATAAAAACACATCATACACAGAACAGATAAAAAAAAAACCGATTTTTTTTTTTTTTAGGGCAACAGCAATGATGTAACAGATAATAGTTTATATTTAATGGTTAATCAAATTTTAATGGAATATGAAAAATATTTTAATAAAAACAACACAAAAAAATAAATAAATAAAAAATAAAAGACAAACAAAAAAAAAAAAGTTTATAAATAAATTATAGGGATACAGATAATATTTTAGTGATAAATAAATACAGCAAATAAACAATAATAATAATAATAATAATAATAATCAGAAAAAATATAAAAACCAACAGTAACATGACATTCTACCAAAATACTTTTTTTTTAAAATTTTTTATTTTTTTTTTTTTTCGAAAGCCATAGGTTTTTTTTTTCAATTTTTAAAAAACTAAAATTCTAATTTTTTATTTTATTTTTTAAAAAAACCTTTTACATCAGAATCAAACATGGCTAGAGAATTATGGTTAACTCACCCAAGAACTTTTGGTCCAGGTTCACGTACCTGTCGTACCTGTGGTAACCACCATGGTATCATCAGAAAGTATGGTCTTATGATGTGCAGACGTTGTTTCCGTTCAAACGCTGAAGCCATCGGTTTCAACAAAGTATGTGTTATTATTATTATTATTTTTTTATAAAAATATATTGATTTACTAATTATTTTTTTTCTCTTTTTCTTTTTTCTTTTTTTTCTCTTTACCTCAGTACCGTTAAACTTCAAATATTTTTAAATAAAAAGGAAACTTTAAAAAGCCACAAAAAAAAAAAAAAACAATATATTATATAATATTTATACGAAATCGTAAAAATTATTATTTTTCTTTATTCTTTTATTTTTGTTTATTTTATTTTTATTTATCTTTGCTTTATTTCAATTTATTTTATTTCTATGTATTTTATTTCAACTTTTTTTTTTAATATTTTTCGTATTGTCTTTTGGCCATTTATGGTTCGATATCCATGAAGTTATTGAAAGTTGTAAAAAGAATTTTATATTTAAAATTATTTAGAAAATAATTAGAAATATTTTAAATGACTAATAATACCAAA